TGGAGGAAAACAAAAGTGCTTCAACAGGTTGATGGCACACCAACACCAGTTGGAGCTTCTCATGGCTAGAGACTTAGCAGCCCAAGGAAGATCAATGGAAGAGCGCATTCCCTTGGAGCAGGCATCAGCTCGTGAACATAGTGTTGAAGAGAGACGTCGACATGAACTCACACATCTACCTTACCAGCCTTGGTGTACAGCTTGCCTGAAACACCGAGCCAGGCAAGACCAGCGCCGGAGGACGGGAAGGTCCCATGAGCAGGGATGCCCCACAGTGTCGTTCGACTTTTGCTATGTGAAGTCTTCAGGCTCAGGGGCAATTGGAGAAGAGGCAGAAGATGGTGCACAGGCTGGACTGAAGGTGGAGCGTGGTGCCCTCCTACTCATCGCGGTTTGCTCACAGACAGGCTATTTGCTAGCCTTGCCGGTGAAATCAAAGAATCAAATGAGTCTGATCACCCATGAGCTGCTCGCCTTCACCCAGGCGTTGGGCCACGAGGAGGTTCAGTACTACGGTGACAACGAACCTACGTTGCGCCAGATTCTCAAGCTCTTGGTGACTGCCAGATCGGCGATGGGGCTGAAGACTACGATGAGGACGACAAAGATCTATGACTCGGCAGGGAATGGATTGGTTGAGAATGCCGTCCAAAGGATCCGCTCGCTTGCAGCGACCTTGATGGAGGACCTGGCCGAGAGGATTGAGCTGAGGTTCCAAAGCCAACGCCCAATTTGGAGCTGGGCGTGCAGGCATAGTGCATGGCTGATCAACAGATTCCAACCATTCCATGGATCGACGAGCTATGAACTGGCCCATGGTCGTTCCTATGAAGGCAAGTTGTGCAACTTCGGGGAAGTTTGCTTCGCCTACTGCAAGCCGAAACAAGGTTTCAAAGCAGATCCTAAGTGGAAGATTGGCATCTACTTGGGAAAGACGGAAATCCAAGACAACTGGGTGATTGGGGATGCCAACAGGGTCTACTTGAGTAGATCTATGAGGAGGATGGTTGACGCCAGTAAGAAGAACCTCATGTGCTACAAAGGGTTCACTGCCTACAGCTGGGAGTATCAGCAGAACTTTGGAGGCAGAATTGTACCGTCAAAGAGGATGGCCTCGATGGTTGGCATGCCCATGAGCCAGGCGCTGCCCCCGAGCAGCGGAGTGTCGCCGGATGATGTGGATGCTCAGGAGATCCTCGCTTTTGTGAAGTCCCACGCTGGGAAGAGAGAAGAGGCAAAGGACTTGATCGACGAGACACCGACAGGAGAGAAGGGCGATGGAAATGGTGGACCACAAGATCCAGAAGAAAAGAGATTGGCGGAGGACAAACGCAAGGATTATGTGGAGGAAGAGGTTCCAGAGCTTGTGAAGGTGACCTCACCGATGGCTATTGATGAGAGGAGAAATCAGGCCGGTCCTTCAAATCCTCATCATCGACCTCTACATGCTCCTTCGACACCCAGGAGTACGGCCCAGAAGACAGGGAGCCCAGAGTATGAAGAGGTGGAAGGCAAAAAGATGAAGATGACCATCGAGAAACCTATCCATCCGTTGGAAGCACCAACGCCTGATCCCAAGAGATTGAAGCAACAGGAAGAGCCCAATACGGAGAGGAGAGTGGAGATCACACAGGTTGGTGAAGATTCGTACTACCACATGGACTACATCATCGGTGAGGAGGAGTTGACCGTGTGGAACTATGAGGACGGAGAGGAAGATGAAATGGCTCTGGAGATTCCCGAGGCTTTGTGGTCTAGTGCACCGCTTGATCGAGTGCCGCCAGATCCGCCCAAGTGGATTGATGATCTAGCAGATGAAGTGGAGGAGAAGCGACTTGAGAGGCTGGGAGTGATCACCCCGCTGGATAGAAAGATTGAGGGCTACAAGGATCTCACTACGAGGTTCGTGAGAGATTGGAGGGCCAAGCAGAGGACAAATGAACCCGGAGCACCAAAGCAATTTCTCAGAAGATCAAGATTGGTGGCTCGAGAGTACGCAAATGATCGTCGAGATGATGTGCACAGCCCAGCGTCTGGAGGGCAAGCACTACGACTTCTTCCAGCAATCTATTTGATGAAGAAGCAGGAGGAAGAGCATGGAGGACCTCGCTACACGATAGGAGCACTCGACATCAAAGATGCCTTCCTACAGGTCCCTCAAGCGGTTCCAACCCAGGTGAGCACCGCCAGTGGGCATTTCGAAGTGAAACGAAATCTCCCAGGACAACGAATTGGAGCCAAGGCATGGTTCGAGCATTTGACCAACTGGCTGAGGGCTAGAGGCTTCGTCTTTTCCCAGATCAACCCGTGCCTGGGACGTTGTGGACAGAAGATGATGCTGTTGATCCACGTCGATGATGTGATGTTCGTTGGAGAACAAGACTATGTGGTGAACACGTTCATCCCAGACTTGAGGAAGAGCTTCGAGATCGCAGAACAGCATCTGACAGGCATGGACAGTTCCTTCCAATTCTTGCGGAGGACATACGTGGAGATGGAGAAAGGGCTGAAAGTGATGCCTGGTAAGTATGCCGAGCAGATGGTCGAGGCATACGAGGAGCAGATGGGAAGAGTGAAAGGGCAGAAACTTCCTTGCGGCCAGGAGGTGCTTGAGCCTGATGGATCAGTTGAACTGAAGCCCGAGTTGGCAAGCCTCTACCGTTCCTTGGTTGGATGTGGCATATACCTCTCGCAAGAACGGCCCGATGTTTCTTATACCATCAAAGAATTGGCTTCAACGATGTCGCGCCCTACCACCAGCAGTTTGAAGAAGTTGGGAAAACTTGTTGGATACCTCAAGAACACAAGGGGTCAGTATAGCGTGCTTGAAGTGGTGGAACCAGGACATGGCTTGGTGAGCCGCACAGTGGAATCAAGGTGGGTTGCTCGAAACCTTCAGTGATAGTGATTGGTCAGGATCAAAGAGTCACAGGAGGTCAACATCAGCAGCTATCCACATGTTGAATGGGATGATGATCTTCAGCAGCTCTCGAGGTCAAAAGAGTGTGGCATTGTCGTCGGCAGAGGCAGAGCTGAACGCTTTGGTGAGTTCAGCCGCAGATGGTATCTACCTGAAGAGGTGCCTAGAATTTTTGATGGAGGAGACGGTGAGACATGAGTGCCTCGTGGATAACTCGGCTGCACTACACCTTTGTCACCGACGAGGACCAGGCAAGCTGCGTCACATAGCTGGCAAATTGCTGTGGATCCAAGATTTAGTGGCGCAGGAGGAGCTGCAAGTCAAAGCTGTGGGGACCACCTACAATGTGGCCGACCTGGGCACGAAGCCGCTATCGAGATCCAGAATCACTCTGATCCTCTACTGGTGCAACACCAGAAGCAGCACTGACGAGAGAATTGGAGAGGAGGAGCTCACCAGGTTGGAAGAGAGCAAGATGAATGGCATCAAGATCAACAAGCTGGCGAAGCTGTTGAACAGGATCCTCCTCTTCGGGGGTCTTGAGCAGGTGACTGCAGAGAGGTCAGAAGTGGTGGAGGAAGCTCCGATGATTGGCTATGGCACTATGATCTTCATCATGGTACTGATGTTGATGATTGCAGGACTCGCATTGGCTGTGTGGTGGCTATGGCGAGTGGTGGAAGAGCTGAAGGTGAAGATAGCAGACGCAAAGGACAGTGCCTATGTGAACGGTGTCTCAACAAGAGCCTATGTGCAAGGCATGCGAGAAGAGATGAAGGCAATGAAGGGTTACATCGAGAGGATTCATCGAGGACTAGTGAAAGCTTCTGGATATGTTGACAATGAAGAGGTCAAAGAAGAGGATTGGAAGCACTGGGACTACCTTCAACGTTCCAACAGGGATTTCGATTGGAGGAGAATCCATGCCCAAATCAAGGCATACAAGGAAGCTTGTGAGAAGGATGATGGGCCTATGGACTTGAGGCCTTACAGGAACACCGAGGATGAGGCCATGGAGGGTGAAGAGACGGTGACCGTTCGTCTCGACAGTGGTGAAGTGGTCGAGATTCCTGTTCGATTCATCGAGACTCGTGAGCCTGAGAGTGAGGAAGACGTGCCTACGGCATCGATGGAGGTGACTGAGCAGCCAGAGCAAGTGGAGTGGGCAGAAGAAGATCTGCCAGTTCCGGAGTCAGGGATCGAAGATCCAACAGTGAGACAGGCAACAAGTTCCTGGATCACGAAAGATGAGTTTAACGCTCTAGCTGAGTTCGATGGCCCAGAGGCAAGATCAGGTCTCAGGGCAAAGCAGCACATGCTGAAGCTGCAGGACGAGTGGACGAAGGCTGACCGTGAAGGGAACCACGAGAGAAAGCTAGAGATTTATACCATGATGGACGTACACCATCCCTTCATGGATGCAGCCAGCCTCCCTTTCTAGTTGGCAAAGGAACCAGCAAAGCTGAACTCCGATGCCAAAGGAGGAGTGCGCAAATCAGTCCACTCAACTCCGTCTACCGCAGGCCCCCTTTTGAGGTCAAAACAACCTGTCCGCAAAAACCAATTCGGGAGGGTACTCAGTTATCAGTTACTTGTTCTCAATGGTTTTCTCCGAAAATGTGTCGAGAATTTTGATGAAACCTAAGTGGGGGAATGCAATTAATTGGCATGATAACCAGGAGGTTGTGGAGAGGCTGCGCACCCCTCAACTAATAATCAAGATGAATTAGGCCATCAACTAGAATTGATCAAACGTGTGTTTTCATAGACTTACAAAAGCAAAAAAATATGAAAGGACCCTCATAGTATACCGGTGGGTTAATTTATTGTAGAGTTTTGCCAGGGGTAGGGCGGTTCAAAATTAACGACGTATCTCCAATAGTATTCGGCCAGTGGGAAGCCTCCTCAAGCAGAATCCGTAGAAAATTAATCCAAGCCTAGGGCCTAGAGTCTGGCTCAATTAGTCTAAAAAACGCATAGGTGCAATCAATTACATGATTTTTTTGCAATATGGGTAATATTCTAGCATTCCAATTGGCTTGTAAATGGAAGGGAAGGGAAGGGGAGGGGAGGGAAGGGAAGGAGGAGTTAGCTGTGATAAAATCTAACCCTCACCTGGCATTTGGGATGTGCGTGAAAGATACTGAACGAGATGGAAAGCCAGAGCTGAAGACCAAACAAGTGTAAAATTGCACAATTGATTGCTCTACACTATCATCTCACAATCTCCCACCGAAAAACGCCTGAAATGCTGTGCTTGCTTATGGCATCCACAAGCATGTAGTTTTGGCTGGCCCCGTTCTTTTTGTGATCATCAGATTGGATGAAGATGACAGTGTTCTTTGGACCCTAGCGCGAAACTGATTGTGGCATGCAATGACACAACAGTGTATACTGCATTTCTTGACAACGCAGTAGTTGCTGTGCAGATGTTTTATTGACACCTATTTCAAGGCTTTCTGGCTTCATTGAATAGCGGCCACAGGTTTACCAGGTCTGAGTGCCCACCACTATTTTTGCTAATTTTTCACGCTCCTCTTTGCTTGGTTTTGGTTGTAAATCCCTTCACATTGGATCGGTTAGTCATTTGGCGGGATAAGGACAGACAATTGATCAGACGCACGACATGGTATACATAGCAAAATGCTGAGTGTCTACTTGCTGGGGAGGCATCTTTCATCGAACGTTCTCTCCTTCCCGGGCCACCTGATAAGTTCTGAGACGCAAATTGTTCAGTTCAGATGATGACAGCAAACCTCACTAGGCCTAAACCTAAGCCACACCAAGCTATCACGCAGCATTTTGCGGCATTATGACCTTTCTGGTCAAAGTTAAAGGCCCGGAGTCGGATGCACTGATTGTTGCCAACTGGATGCTGCAACTGCAAGTTGCCCAGGCCTCCTTGAAACGTGTCAAGTCTCATGTTTTCCAGGTTTGCAGCGCAAACCGCAGCATATCCACAGTCCATTGTGCCGCCTTTCTTGCCATCCCTGAAAATGGAGGCGGGAAGGATTTGCAAGCGGCCCCTGCAGACTGCGCTGCGCGGTTGTGTTGAATGTTTTGGACACGAGCGTGTTCGGCCCTTCCAACGCCAACATTAAAGGGTAAAAATTCACGATTTCATCGCTATTTTTTAGAGACACAAGTAGGGGTCCAGATTTCATTGACCCCAGCAAAGGCTCCAGTGCTGGATGGAACTTGGACACCTGTCCCCATCGTTGTCAGTGGCCCAGTTACACTACTTTTGTGGTAGGGTTTGACAAGGACCACCAAGCAGGTATACAGCAGCGGTTGTAACAGTCCAAAGGCTTTTGTTACACCACCCTGACTCTGAAACTACACTCAGAAGTCCAAGCAAAAACAGGCTTGTGTAGGTCCAAAAAGATCAAGTTCAAAGGGGATGCCACTCTAGGGTGGGAGCTGAAGCAGATCTGACTGCTGATTCATTGTATGCGAGACTGATTTTTCTGTGGGAGTTGGTGTAATACAGAGACCCCCAAGGCAGGGAGAGCTAAGGACTCACGACTCAGAAAGCTCTTATGGGCAAACCCTGCTCACAACTCAAGCAGAAACTCGCAACCTAGGTTTAATCTCTGGGGCCCTGGGGGTGTTCAGGACTCTTGGGAGATACAGCATTGCCTGTTGTCTTTGGGAATCTCAGTCACCTCAAAACTTGGTCAACGTGTTGGGTAACTGGTGTTCAACCCACCGGATGTCACTACTAGTAAGGCACTTGTTACTAATAGCTTTTTGTTACTACTAGTAAGGCACTTGTTACTACTAGCGTGGCACTTGTTTCTAATAGCTTCTTGTTACTACTAGTAACAGGTTTTGATCATGTACATTTTTAAAGTTCTGGATGTGTTCGAGAGCTCTCATCAGACTGAGAGCAAATACTTGTGAATCACAAGAGACGGACGGAGAGGACAGCTACTCTGCAATCTGTCATCCTAAGGCTGCTCCAGCTCCAGTTATTATGGCCACACCAGTCTGCATCCCAAGATGGTGTCCAAACCAGTGAGATTGATGATTTGATATGGAAAGGCTCTCACGAAACTCACGAAACCCAAGATTTTTCCTGGATACTAAGGCTCAGGCAGAGGCCCAAGCTGCAGCTCAAGCAGCAGCTCAAGCAGCAGCTCAAGCAGCGGTGCCCTCCAAGGCATGGGTGACCTTGAGAAGGTCTAAAATCTTTAGGATTCAAACATATATACGGTATATATATACATGCTAGCGCCCTCCAAAACCCACCTTTGACTCATGTTGCTCATTGCTCACAATATTATTCCCGATTGCTTCTGGAGATAAATCTCACACCCAAGGCCCCCCTTTATTCTGGGAGACACCTTCTTTTTGAACGACTCCCTTCACACTTTATATAAGTCTCTTTGGAGTTGAAACGTGGCTTCGAAGCGCACCTCGTTTAGTCCTTGGAAACTAGCATACCAATGCTATGTAGTTACCCTAGGCTTGGAGTTTGTGTGCTTGGCCTTCTCCAGAGCTTGAGAAGATGGTTTGGGGCTTGAGTGAAGTCGTCAGTGGTGCGGTAGCAAAGCGTGAAGTTGATTTCAATTGTGCATTGCAAAAAGATTGTGCACAAAAGCAGGAAATCAGTCGGTGCGGCTCTTTTTGACAATGCTGCAACCCGCAAGCTTTGCACTTCAGACGGTTGTGATTGGCCCATAGCAGATGGTGGAGGTTGCCAGTCTACAGCAGATTGGTCACGACTGCGCCGGCCCACTGACCATTTTCGTGGCTTGCGAGCAGAGTTTGCAACATTTTTGCAACAATGGGGTCTAGTTGACTGCTTCAAATCATTGGGAATCATTCAGACGCCTCCTCATTATCTAGAGATGAACTTGAACAGGTTCGCGCTTCATTGGGCGCTGTTTTTTGCGAGCAGGGTTTCGCTTGCATGGATGAAGTTCAAGAATTCCAGGCGAGGCTGACTTTAATTTACTGCAACTGTTGCAGCAAGGGGTACCGACAGGCATTTTGCAGCCCGTTGCAGCATCACGCGTGTGGGAAGAAGTTGATTGTGTAGCTGATTCAGATGTAGAGCTCCTGGTGCACACAAACCATGGGCTAGCTCTTTGCGATGCCCAAGCCTTACCGATCAGCTCATTGAACATGTTTTCGCTGGGCACTTATATTTCAAATTGGTGGGGTAGCGGAAGAGCTTTTGGCTCGAAAAGGTATGTCATGTCGTTTTGGTCAAAAGCCGCGCCTGGTGGATGGCCCGTAAAGGTATGTCGTCCAGACGTGGAATCGGTGCAGCGTTTTGTTTCAACTCACCGTCGCGCTGATGTCCTGCAGCTGTTTACTTTCCTTTGCGCTCTAGGCGTGCCCCTCAATTGGGAAAGGGTATTCTTTGGAAACGATTTCAAGTTGGCTTTAACTTTTTTCTGGTGGAAAAAAACTGGAAGGTCGTCCTGACAGGTGTCTCATGGAGGAGACGGAAAGGCAATCTGTGGAGATAACGCCCTGCTTAACGGATTCGGACCTCAGCAGCCAGGGAGGTTACTGCGCTGCATCTTGTCAGTGGGAGGAGAAGGCCACATGATTTGCATTGGGCAAATCCCGCCAAGCAGCATCCTGAGCATTGCTTCCGTCGACGATGACAAATTGGAGCGTGCGATGAGCTCCTAAGATTTAGTGTGGGGTCCATGTTGATGCAAGCAGAGGCAGGACACCTTGCTCTACCCTAGAGAAGCAAATGAGGACGACACAGCCTCACGACTTCGTCCATAGGCTTCAAGGGATGACAGTGGCTTACAGGTGAACCCAAAGAATTGCCAGCTGACGCGTGTAGGCTGTTAGGCTGTTAGCACATTTCCGTTTGGTGTGGCTTCATGAGAAAAACCACATGGTAGAAACCCCGGAAGAGTTGAGATGGATCAGGCAGCATGTCGCGGACATGAACAGCAATAGGCAATAAGCATCTACCACCTCTCATTCAGAATTCCGTAAAGGCGCCGAATCATCCGAACCCAGGCGCGACATGGACATGAATCAATTGACATGTTTTTTTGAGAAAGTCTTTTTGTCCTCATTCTTCCAAACAAAGCACTATTCTTTTTTTCGAGGTAAAGTTGGATGCATGACACCCAAAATCAAAGCGTCTATGTTGTTTCTTTTTTGCTTGCAGATTGTATGGTCGACATGGAAAACTATGTGTTGTGGGTTTTGCAGGACAAACGAACGTGTGTCGTGTCACATTTTTTGTTAGAAGTCATAAGTCTTCACGGGTTGAGGTCTTCCCTTTCCACGTCCTCGCTGCTTCAATTGTGTTCATGCAGCTTGAGACCTTTTTGGCCGCTTTTCCCAAGAAAGCAGAGCTGCCCTATCCCATCCCCCTTTCGTCCACCCTGGTCGACCCCTTTGTCTTTAAGAAACTCAAAATATTGTATACGTGTCCGATGTATGATGCTGCTGCAGTTGGTCTATGCTTAAGAGCAAAAACAGCTTGCATACACTTGCGTTCACTGCTCGATTCGTGCATTTCAACATGTGCTTAACTCATACGTAGGCCACTTGCCAGATGACACACACATATATATATATATAATATATTGTTTGAAACTCCTTCATACCCCCTTTTGCAGATGACAAAGTGGTTTTGGCGACAATCTTGCGACAAAGACTATGTTATAAAGACATGAAACACAAATTCAGTGCCCCCACATTGCGAATCTTTTAATCACACATCTCTTCAAAAGCGATCGTTTTGTTGAAACGATGAGGATGACAACGTTCTGACCTTGGACAGTTCTTCTTTCACTATGCCGAGAAAAACATCACGTTCTGGGTGGCAAACATTTTGGCAGCATAAACATAAGCAAGGCCTCTTCGTATACAAAGGACGTGTGAATGCATGAAAAATTATTGTTTCTTGAGGCACCTGCGCTGACACCCTTGCCAGCCGGGCCAGTATCTCCGACAAGTGCGAAGGCATGCTGATTGGTGCATGTATTGTTTTCTCAGAACCCAGCAATTCGTGGCAGACAAACCGTAAACAGACTGCATTACTTGAGGTGCAGCGGCCAGATCCCAGTACGAAAAACCATGAGAACTCCTCACTCCTCCATTGTTCCTAAAGATTCGATGAAGGCTGCTGTAGCAGTGGGTGGTGATCAGGTGATAAAGGCGAATGGCTAGCATCTCAAGTGCGTGAACTCATAGAGACGAAACACGCTACTGTAGCACAACCATAACAAGTTCTTTGTAAACCACTGAATGTTCAAAGGCAAGCTTGAACTATTGGCAGTGAGGTCTTGCGTACTACGAGGATTGTATAAGAATCGCAGAAAGTAAATTGCTGCTTTGGTGCCATGAGTTCTAATTGTACTGACTTTGCACATGCGAGAGATTCATCAGACTGACCTCGTGCAAAGAAGCCAGAAGTGAAGAGTTGTTCTGATGAATGGACTGAATGGAGAAACACAGAATGATTTGAGATTTGAGTAAAAATATTGGCAGGGTGGCCAATCCTCATTCAGTTGTCCTTGGAGTAGCTAGTAGAAAGAATCTGAAACAAAAAGCAGAAAAACATGTGTTTGTCACACCGCTGAGTGTTGTTTGTCCACGGACTTATCCATTTTGCACATACTGCGCCCGTGAAGGCCTCTGAAACTCAGAAGCTGAAGGCCAACAACAAGATCAACAAGGCACAGTTGCATCTTGTTTTGATAGCTTTACCTTCAGGTTTCAGTTGGTTGGGAAGGGACACATGGAGATTTGACACTTTAAGTGTTATGACACCAATCTTGATGCCATTTTGGCTCAAGATTGGGTGCCTCCAGTTTCATTTTGTAATGCCCGCCATCCTTACCTCGGAGCTCTCATCCTGGCGCTTGGGGGCGAGGAGGTGGCGGTGCGAGAGCCGGGGTGGGATTTGCGCGCTCGCGCTCGCGCGCGTGCTGTCGCGTGAAGAGGGCTGGAGTCGCTCGCGGCAAGGCTGTTACCGGCATCAGCCGGTGGTGCTCTCAGCTCTGTATCAGAGCTGCGACGCGGAGCATCGCGTGTGCGACAAGTGCTTCCGCCAGGGCGGGAGAATGGACACCAGTGCTATGAAGCCGCAGAAGGCCCCGAGACGGAGGACATGGTCAAGGCCTATGGGCTTGGAACCCAAGACCAAAGCCCAGTCTTCACAGTGCCGTCGACCTTGCCAAGCTGGGCCGCACCCTCAACATGTTTGCGCCGCAATGAACCCAGGACCAAGCCATGACTGGTGATCCAGGACCAAGCCATGACCGGTGATCTCTAAAAGCTCTTGATTGACCGCCAGAACACGCAGAAGATGGCTTTACCATCTTGGAACTTAGGCATAAGTGTTACTTTAGGGGGCATAGCGCACCCTTTTGTAGCTTGGGGCCCAAAGGACAGTACACGTACTGTCAGGTGGGGGGCTCGAGCAGCCATAGGATGGTGCGGCTGCGCTTTTGCCTAGCGCTTTTGGTTGCCGTGCATGGATGGTGGCCAAGCGGCAACGCCTCCGAAGCAGCGGCGACCCCAGAGGTGGGCCCGTGGCAGGAAGCGGCCAGGAAACGCTTTCCTGCCCTAGAGGGCCAGTGGACCAAGCTCGAAGAGGGCATGCAACAAGCCTTCACCTGGGCTACGGCGGGAGCTGGCGGTCAGAGTCAGCCCTTCGAAACCGGACTATGGATGGTGGTGGACACCATCGTGGGGTTGGTTGGCTGGGCTTTGTTCGGGGCAGCCTGGACCAACGTGAGGACAGGATGCAAGAGGGTGATGCAAATCGCCCTAGTGTTGGGACTATGCCTGGTAGCCCACTACGTGTGGGCTGTTTGCTACCCGGTCGTCTCCGTGGTGGTGGCAGTGGCTATGGCGGTGATCTGGATTTGCCGCAAGGTGCTCAAGCTGGTGGGAGCGTGGATGTTCTGGCTCCAACGAGTGACTGGCGGCTCACCGGAAGCAGCAGAGGCTGAGTTCCATGGCCCGGTACGGGTCGCACTCCGGAGACCTCGCAGTTGAGGGCCTTCAAGAGGACTGGAGACAGCCAGAAGCTCCTGGTGGTCAAGCGGAACGACGAGGTGGCCATGGTGCAAGTGGGGTCGGACACTCAGTCGATCAAGACGCACGGGCTCTACGTACCCATTGAACCTGCTTCAGCTCGAGGTTCAGTGGGTTTGGTGAAGAGGTTACGGGATGTGGAGAAGATCCACCTGTGCCGGAACGAGGCCTGCGCTGAGGAGGGTGGCGAACACTTCACCATCTATGGGTTGGTGAGGCCAAGCGACCCGGAAACCTTCCAGCTGACGCAAGCGCAACAAGGAGCCCGGACGCTCTCCAGAAGGCCATGGACCTGGATGACAGGACCTCAGGTCACGCAAGCTACGATGGGAGTGATGCAGCGCACCAAGGAGCTGGGGTCCGAGTCGGAACAGGAAGAAGAAGTACTGAGCTGCGCGGCGAGCCGTGTCTCTCTCGGCTTGGTGCTGAGGGGCCGGTCCACTTAGCTAGCCGGCCGTGCGATGGGAAAGCCCCGCGGGCTTGGCTGACCATGCCTTCGACCTTCGACCTCGAACGACCAAACTGAAGTCCTGCCATCGACCAAGCAAGATCGTCTGTGTAACGTCCAAGGCTGCCAACGATCCCATGATGGTCTCCGTGGCCCGTTTGAGAGCCTAGACGCCTGCGTCCAAATGCAGCTGCTGAGGAGAGGTGGGCTGAAGAGGATGAAGATGGAGACGCCCACCTCGGTTACGACCAAGATCAAGGAGCTCAGGGCGAAGCTGCAGAAGGACAAGACGGACAAGATCCAGGACGGAAAGAAACGGGCGAAGGCAGGCGCTTAACAAGAAGGAGGGCCAACGGCGCAAGAAGGCGGAGAAGACGGAGAAGATCGCGGAGGTCGTGCGGGCGGAGAAGGACGGCGAGTACGCCCCGAGGAGTTCCAGGTCGACCATACCAAGGACGAGGATGTCAAGGAGATCGTGGAGGGCCCAGACCAGGAGTGGCGTTGCAGTGTTCGCCCCAAAAATTACCCACATCCAGGACGCCGAGGGATGACCGCCCCGCAAGAATAAGTCACTGGTTCGGCGAGCACAGGAGTGGGCACTTCACCAACGCTCCAAGCCTTTTTTGAGGAAGCCTCGGACGACCTCTACGCCTGGGCAGCAGCTCGCATGGCACGGGACCCCACCTTGGAGGTGGTACCCTTGTTGCAAGAAATGGCAACCTACGGGCTGGGCGAGTTGGCCAAGGAAGCGCAGACATGCTGGAGGGTCAGGGGGACCAGAAAGCAGGGTCGGCACGCTTAGTGGTCAGGGACACTCTTTTTGGTCTGAGGGACAACCCGGCCAAGGCAGCGCGGAGCTCGATGGCAAGCTGTGGCGGCTATGGGACTACCAATGCGTCACGGTCACCATGATGGCCACGGTAGTCGAATGGCATGAGCGGGGAGCTCAGGCGCTGCGAGAGGAACAGACTCGTCTGGCCCTTGAAGCTTCGCGTGCAATGGGCGAGCCGGAGGAGGTGGTCGCTACGATCTGGTCGCTGCTCATCGCGAGAAAGATTTCAGATCACTGCCGCTTGGTGGTCTTCTGCGCGGACTACAAGGGGGGTTTGGTCGTCGAAAGTGTGGTGGGCCAGCGCTACCCGGCGGGTGGAAGGCGCGTGCCCTCATTTGGAAGGGACGCATGGTGTTGCTGGAGCCCCCGGAGGATGTGGATCTGGAGACGCTCTTGGCCAAGGAGGAGCTTCAGGCAACACCCGCGCTCGGCTTCTCGTTCTTCTGGCACGCCCGACACGATCAAGCAGCCGCCGCCCCAGGGCGAGTCCATTGCAGGTTGTGCAAGGCATCCCCGAGGCAGGAACTCCACATGGACTACCACGCCATAGTTGTTTGAGTATGACCGCGGCCACAGCTGGGACTTCCACATCGTCGAGCGCTTCACAGTGCTTCGGGGTGTACGAGCTGCAGGCGGCCCACACCCTCCAGACGCCCTGGTGCTGCGTGAGTTCTTCGCGGGCAAAGGGGTGATTACCAAGGAGTGGCAGCAGAACGGCATCGCCCTGGAGCCAATTGAGGTCTACACCGAACCCCATCGGCGAGGGTATCGTGAAGCACATCATTGAGCCAGGCTGGTCCTCGTGCTCAATTCCTTCAAGAAGCTCGCCAAGGGCCTTCCAACGTGCACTGGGTGGCGGCTCCGTGTACCAGTTATTGCGACTGGCAGTTGCAAAACGGCGGTTCCAGGACGTTCGATCAACCAGCTGGAACCGGGCTTGGACCGCTGGCGGAGGCAGAACGGCTGGGCAACCATCTCAGTGAGTATGCGGCCGAGATCTTTGAAGCATCGATCGACAACGGGGGCTTTCCGGTGGCGGAGTCATCAGCCGCCAGTGGTTTGGGGCCACCGGATGAGCCCAATGCCTTCTACGTCCATCGCGCCAGACTCGTGTTCCCTCGACATGGACCCCTACGGCGTCTTCTACAACGCCAGTGCCCAGGCCTGTCCAGTACCCACAAACACGTGGCATTGAAAGGGTGCCGTGAAGGCCAGAAAGTCACCCGCTGCACGGAGGCCGGGGTCGTCTATGCCCCCAACTTTTTGTCTTGGGGTCTGGTTTCGCCACAGCAACGGCAGGGAGCGACTGGTGGCCTCTTCTTCGTCAGCTCCGACGAGTTGGTCCCCGAGTGGAGATTGGGAGGATATAGCCACCCACCATATCGACGGGTAGGGAAAGGAAAGGCCAAAGGAGAAAAAGGGAAGAGGGCTCCGATGCCAACGAGGGTGCCAGAGGAGGTCCGAGGGGTCTGGCTTGATTTACCGGAGAGCACTTCAACCAGCGCTACATTCGGGCATGCAGCGGGGCCTGGAGATGAGTGGGCCGGACGGGCAAACCACTGGAACTATGACCCCAGGAGGCGACAGCTGTGGAGGATCCATGACGTGCCCAGAACGCACCTCTACGTCCCCCAGGAGCTCGGACTACCCACACCACTGGCTCACCTCATTGATGAGCGGAGGACCTACATCAAGACCCGGGCGAGAACGTCGTCATCACGGACAATTGGAGGACCGCGGGTGCTGCTGACCTGGGCTATGGGAACTGGACGGGGACCACGGTCTTCACCATGAGGGAGCTCCCGGTCGCGGACGACCCCAACGTGCCCACCGACGACGAGGACTGGTACTACGAGGAGGACGACGACGACCAAGATGATTCCGAATAGATACCGGACCCGACGCAGCCCAGGAGGTGAAGATCGAAGAGGCTGGAACGCAGTGTCAAAATATATAGCGCTGCTGTTCAAGAGAAGAGAGTAGGGTCTGAGTCTGAGACACACCATCTTGCTGTGAGTGCAGAGTTTGGGGTCTCTATGTCAAAGAGAGGACGCTAACTCCCAGGGTTGTGTCTGACCTGTGTGTTTCTTATCGTCGATCAATGCAAATGGTTGGCTGGGAAGGGACACATATGAGGTTCAGTGTTATGACGCCCATTTTGGCTCGGCCTTGACACCCTCTGCGGGTAGTATAGGGTTGGGTTTCAGGGATTTCCTGTACCTATCTTGTTTGTCCCGCAGGGGTGATCGGTAAGTTCATCCAAGACGACTTATCCAGCTAGCCTGTGTGTCTTGAAGCCACGACTACGACTGAAGCCCAGTGTTATATAAAATGCTGCTGCTCAAACAGATGAGAGTCAGGTCTCAGACACACCATCTTGTTGCGAGTGCAGAGTTAGGGCCTCTAAGTGAGTTGAGCGCGAAGCTAGAAAGAGAGGGCGCTGACTCCCAGGGTTGCGTCTTACCTTTGTGTTTTTTTTGTGTGACCCTGCAGATTTCTGGTCAATAGTCTTAGTCTGGGTCAGTTGTACAGTTATGGACTAAATTGTACCTGATATTCTTCTGTTTCAAGGAGAATGCGCACTACAACAAGGCAGAGGGCCTGGGAGGTGTTGCGTTCAGCGTTGGATTTTTGAGGGTTTGTGAATCCTGTGCCACAGAAGTGGTCATACTATATGATTTCATTTTGCCAGCTGCCTTGGTACTACAGTAATTGTTCTATATTGTTCTGCATTGTTTGATGTTTTTGTTTCAGTATTGATGCAAAGAAATGTTTGCTGTCTTGATATTTATCCTGTCCCTGCATCTACTGTTGTCAGACCGAACATGTCGGAAAAGAAACAACGGTATATATGTCAGAGGGGATTGTTCATTCTTCGCTTCGAACCTGTCATATAAATCATGTTCAGAGCGGCGCTCAGCTTGGAAGAAATTGCAAGTAAAGCTAACGAGCTAACCATGGTTTAAAACTAAATAGATGGCAATTACGTATACAGCCAGTACCGATGAAACAAGAGTGTATATAAATCTTGTTCGCCACCAAAACACGAAGGAAAACCACTTCAGATTTCAGGTAACATGAAACTGTGCCTCGGGTCAGATCGCTCTGTCAGAGGACAAATGCGGCAAATTCAAGGGAAGGCCATGGAGTGACTTTCGGGGGAGGTGAGAACATATAGGGTGACCGGACCAATGTTTTTGCAGTGGGGATAAGTCATAGAGAAATTCTATTCCAGTCAGAGACTCGTCATTTTGTGGCTGCGGCTGGAAAGGATGTGTGGAAAGCGGCATGTCATCCAAAGACTGCTGGAGGATCACCCACCGACGTACTGCGGGCGGCTGAAAGTTAGCGTGCATCCAGGATGACATTTGGATGCTTCGTTTCCATGCAGTTGAACCATCATGTGGCCAGTAGGTGCATGAATCATCGAGATTCTTTTTACATTGATAAGAGCCAATAGTGGCAGCTCAGCCCTGAATATCCAACCCGCGGGAAGAGCAGAGCAACCATGCGGAGGAGCATGTGTTTTGTCAAGTGCCATTATTTCACAGACATGGCCCGACACGACTATATAATATTCTTGCATTTTCACTAGTGACACTGGTACTTGCCCGACGAAGCTGGGCTTGGGTGGGCGGGATACCTGCGATATTTGCAATTGTTGAAGTGAGCGTGTTGCAAGGCTTAACCAGAACAAAGAGAACATTCGAGGGGATGAGCCTCAGGAGCAGGTGCAAGAGATGACTGAAAAGGACCTCGTGACTATCAAGCTGCGCTGTAGCAAAGCTTTGTTTGTCGGAAATGACACCTCGACAGTTTGATTGCTGCTGGAAGGAATGCATTTTTATACATTTGTATGCCCTAAATCGTCATGCAAACAGGCATTGTGTGCTTAAGGAGTTGAAGAAGATTTCGTGACTAGTGCTCCACTAAATCATAGCAGCTATCCACCTTTGAAGCCGTTCAACTGCAGACACGTTGTGATGTCTTGGAGCAGATAGCCAGACAGCTACATTACTGAAGGTGTGCATTGGTTATTTAGGTCTTCGACGCGGCTTCTTACTAAGGGGAACCGTGCGCTAATTGTAAGACGTCAGGCCGTCAGGTGTACCTTGACCGCTGCAACAAGAATGCTTCCAAGAGGAAAGTAATGGAAAGTATGTCCTTATGCCGATTCCTGGACGGCGGCAGTACCCTCAGTTGTCTCCTCTGCTCTTTTGCTCCAGTGTTCTTTACACAAGATGGAAAAGTGGCACACAGGCTGGCTATATTCCTTGTCACTAGGTAGATCCCACAAGGTAGCGGACGTTCCCATCTGAGCCTATGCCGAACCTACAGAAAGGTTTTGTTGTTGACATCAGGTTTACGTTGATTTGTGACAGGCGCCGTCATGTGCAATCAATCATGTGTGATGCGCCTCATGTTGGTGTGAAAGGTTTTGAGCAGACTAAACACTCTTGGCATATTGCATTTCTTTTGCCTTCTACTCTTTTCTGATCCGTCTCTGTAGAAGCCTCCATGCCGGCGCCGAGATTCCAAATCTGCGCTGCACTGATACACCGATATATCCACCCCCCCTTCCCGGCATATGCGGCATATGTCATCCAGGATATCGGCGTATCGGCACATCCGCGCCGCCCAGTTAAAAACCGCCATGCCACCGGGCAGGAAATCGCTACTTATTGTACTTCCTCCGGATTCCTCTGGACTCCAGGATGCTCTAATTGTCTACTTTAGTTTCTTTTGTTGCCAGAAAGCTGAAAGCTGTAGTTTTCTTTTTTAAACATATTTCGGTATTTTTGTACATTATTAGTACATTTCTCAAAACATATTTGCCTGCTCGAAACCCTTGTTTTCTGCACATCTCTCTGGGCATCTCTCCGTTCTTGTCCTTTTCTGCTTTTGTTTGCTTCTATCAACATCTCTGACGCAGCGCTGCGATTTGCAACGAGTTGTGTTTCCAACTGCGCGAGCAAGCAAACTCCTGGGGCCAGCACACCACCCATCAGTCCGGCAACCATTGACAATCTTGGCACCGCCACAAAACCTTTCTGATTTGCTGGCTGAATGATGAGATAGCTCTTTGATGAGCTAACTGAGTGCCCAGGTGGCCATTGGGATGGTTCCAATGTCCATAAGTGGGAAGTTTCTTCGCTAAGCCTCCTTTGATAACATTTCACGTAAAATATGACCAAGTCAAACGGGAGTGATGTTTTCCAGTTCTGACTTGGGGGGCCTTTTTCTATCATTTGGGATGCTTTTGCCCATTCCCCACTTTCTGGTGGCGTGCTTCTTTCCATCAGATAGTAATTTGTTTTGATTTCTTTCCTTTCTGCGTGTCTTCCTGTAATTCCGCGTTTGACCTGTTGTGAACTCTTGTAAATATATATACAGTAATTCTTTTGTCTAGAGGCAGACACATACCTCAGCAACCTGCAGCGGGAAGGATCGATAATTATTGAATGAGAGTCAATAATTGGCCCCTGTTTCAGCTGAACAACTCAGCAAGAAAGAGCGATGGTATCCCACACGAGAAGACAAGTGAGCAGGGACAACCATCTGGCAAAACATGGAGAAGACGAGCACACGAACCTCAACTCAAGACCGTACAGTACAGACCCTAATCAACCCTCTTTAGTTTTCGCATTTTTCCTGAGTTTACACACAGTTTTGTTTCAATAATTCCAGGAACCATTGTTTAGCGATATTTTGCTGTTAGCGATATTTTGCTGTTCTTTTTGCTTTTTGTATGTCCTGTTTTCTTGCGCACAATTGCTGGCACGTTCTTGAACATTGTTGGTGCAGGCCTACTGAGACGAAGCACAGGGAGAACCGGGAACCCGCGGGCTTAGAAGCGCTGATTTCCAGCATGAGCCCGGGGCCGACTTTGCAATGCGGTCGCATGCATTGAGACCGTTGGCACCGGGGATGCAATCATGCTGGTCTAGGCAAGCGTTTTTTGGCCTTAGGCTGGGCATGGAGACAATTTGTTTCAAGACAACATATATATATATATATACACAATATATATATATACACATATAATATATGTATATACACATATTCTGCAATCAAGGTTTGGAACAAAAAACAGTACATTCCTGATTCTATGGGCCCTTCCCAAATGCCTGGGGGCATGAGAGATAGGGCCTAGGCCCAGCAGATCTTAATTCAAAGATCATGTAGGCGATGGGGAAATCGGCTCTTTAGATGCACATAGCGAAGACGTATCCACCTGGACACGCAACCATGCAGGGGAGTGTCGACTGATAAGGAAGTAATAAGCCCATGATTACGTAGTGGGAGCCGCTTTTCCGTTGCTAATAGTTTTTGACATGTGCACGCTTAGAAGCTGCCTACTCAAAGCAGCCATATTTCGAAGCGCAGTCAGGGTTGCGAGACCTTCAACATGCGTGTCATCTCAACTACACTCAGCTCCACATGGCAACCCTGCAATGGATTTCATTACGAGTGGCACTCTTGTGACCAACTCCGACGCAATCAGCACCGTCGAGCTAATGTCGCCTGGCGAATCCTGCTAGCACAATCCCACCTTCACAACAGAGTTGCTGTTGAAAGCCCTGGTTCGACTACTTGATTCATTGCAGTCTTTCAACTTACTTGTGTTTGTGGCGTCAATGTAGCAAGCTGCTCTTGTTCCAGCTGTTGCACCGTATTTACGGTATGCTGGGCAGTAAGAGAGACATTTTCGGCTCATGTGCAAATGGCAATGCGAGAAAGAAAAGGCTACAGTCACTGGCAGGCCACACACGACCAGACAATCTATTCTCAATTCTTACATGAGTTTCAAAGCAAGGAGGCACCCAATGCTTCCTTTCACTCTGTGGCAGCGTTTACTCATGTCGTGGTCGGATGGCACCTTTTGACACGTGCAGCGTGCATCATGAAAGTTCCTTTAATGGCCGTATCCGTATTTTCTCAAAATCACCCGTGCAGTCTGTGCAGCCCTGGCTCACACGGTGTGAGAACGACCTGCAGCTGTTTGCCAGCTTCCAGTTTTTCAGGGCAGCCTAGGTATTTTAGGGAGGCGTGCGGGAGAGGACAGAAGGTGATACCCTTGGAAGAGCAATAATCAGCTTTCCATGTTTCTGCAAAGAGCTTTGTAGGAGGAAACAGGGGATCAAACACCTTTTTTGCAAGATCTAAGATGACATTTACACATGCTCTATGTATGGAGCATGCACTGCAGCATTGAATTTATCACCAGGGTCTCTTGAACTTTAATTTGCCAGCTGCTTCGATACCCGGATAATTACATACGTGCACATTCTTTTGTGTATGTCCTTTTCGAACTTGGTGACTCGCGACGAGACCTCACCCTCATTGTTTTGTACTGGTTGCCCTTCCAACAGCAGAATGCAGTTGGGTCAATCTCCGGGGCTGGGAGTGGTACACAGTTTGTCTCCAGCGCCGAAGCAGCGGAATTCCACCGTGGAATCTTGGAGCCCCGCCAGTGCTTCCGCTGAAACCTTGGAACCTGGAGCCCTGGGGCACCTGGGAACCTGGGTGCTGTTAGGCCAGGTGCGTTGATCGGCCTTTGGCCTTGGGCCCTGCAGCTCGCCATTTGTACTCTTCGGGGCCAAGCCCACCCCGAGCACCATGTCGGCGACGGAGGCCTCGGGCAGGTCAGTTGAGTGGCACAAACAATAGTTTTTGGCCCCGCACGGAATTTGTGCAACAGAGCGAATTAGGCAGGCTGACTGCGTAGATCGTTGGCTTGATGGCCTTGGTGTGTGTGTGTGTGAGTTCAATAGTGTTGGAGGGCTTGGAGGAACGCAATGAGCCGCGTGTCCCTGGTGGTAGTAGATCCGCGCATCATGTGTACTCCAGCACAGTGGTTTCTTTGTTCGCAGTCCGGTGCGTTCTCAGTAGCGCGTCTCTATGCCGGCCACCTTGTTGGATGTACCCAGCAGGACGTTTCTAGTTTTGCACATGTGCCTGCATTTTGTGTTGCGAGGCATTCTTTCTACGCATTGCTTTTGCGCAGCAAGGCCGTTCGTTCTTAGCAACCCTCATTGGTGCTGGAACAATATTTTCGCTGTTCTGATTCTCTTTCCTGCTTGTTCCTCAGCTCCTCGATCCTCCTCCTGTTCTTGCTTGCCAGCTCTTGCCCCCGAGCTCCCTTTACGCTTGGGTGTGGTTTGGGAGGTCTGTATGTATATAAATCTATACGCGTACACATATTGGAGCCTCAAGATCTTGGCTCAAGGGACTACGTGACTCAAGCCGGGCTCGTTGGCTGTGGGCTGTACACGTCTTCACCAGGAAGGTCCCTGTGTCCAAGAGCGGTGACGCGGCAGATCTTGGACGTCCTCGGCACCCTGAAGATGTACGGTTACACGCACCAAGTGGATCTGGGAAGACAAGATCCGCGAGGGCTACACCTCCAGCAAATGTGGCAATCACTGGATGAAGCCCCTTCAAGGTTTTTCCACCAAACCACGTACTCCTAGACCATGAAGGGAGTGCGGCCAACAGAAGCCGATCCCACCGCCTCCAGGACTCAGCGGAGGCAGAGGAGGGAAGCTGACAAACATCCAGAAGGCCACGGCAGATGTTTTAGCCCCAGCTTGGAGTTCTTTCGACACCTCACAGATGTCTTGAAGGAGGCCCTCACGCAGCTCCCAACACGAGTGAGAGAACTGGTTGAGAAAATCGCAAAACCGCCTCCGGAGACAGAGAAAGACATGGCCACATGGCCACATGGCCATGAAGCTCAAGGCTCAAGTCTTTGCCTTGCGTGATCTCTTTCACCGCAAGATGATGCAGCAAAAGATCGACACCGCCAAGAAGACCTCATGCTGGAAGAGATGAAGGGCGTCCAAGCCAAGTTGGAATGAGCAAACAGCCCTCACGGCCAATCTGTTGTACCTTTTGCAGCCACAGGCTCAAGCAGCGGCACGGCTCCTCAGCCGGGCTATAAGGAACGTGGCGAAGTGAGCCTGGCGCTCCCAAACTTCGTGGGGGCGTAATTTTGACTACTGAGTCTGCCGGAGAGCCAACAGCTGGTCCAGGGGCACCGTGCTCTTCTGCAGCAGTGCGGGCCTTTTGAGGTTCTGCAAACAACGGAACCCCGCAGACCAAGCTGGCAACTCTCCTCACCTCGTGGAGCTCATGGGTAATGATGAACCCAGGACTGGTTTTGACCAGGCAGACGGGCAAAGAACGACGTGACTGTATCCATTGCAGCCTATGAGCGTCGCCGCTCAACACACACACAGGGCAACAGCTCCTGACTGATCTCAAACGGATGGAGAACCTCGTTCACAAACATCTCGAAGTACAAGGAGATGTCAGCACATGGCTGTCAACATCAACCTTTGCTGTGGGAACGCTGCCTTTAGGTGCTGGAGTTGGGCTGGAGCTTTTGCAGAAGACCAATCTCTGGCTTGGGGAAAGACCTACACCGCTGTTCGACAATTTTTTGTCGGACAGCTATCCTACCACCCTCAAGGGCCTGGAACAGATGGTCGCCATCTGGGACCACTTCCAGGAAGGACCAGGCTGACGTTGGTGATTTTGTCGGCTTTCTCTAAACCGTTCATCCCACTGGACGCCTTGAAGGAAGAGAACAAGTCCCTCTCAACCGCGTTTTTCCTCCAGGGTATGGGCCGGCGAAGGCGAGGGGCAATACCTCTATGGGGCTCCAGGTGGACTCATTGTCCACCTACAGAGGTTTCAACTTGTGCAAGGATGTTGCACCAAGCATGATCGAGCCCTCGAGATTCCTGACAGAGTCTCCTTCCCGTGAAGATGGGATACACGTGGCCTCATACCGCATTGTGAGCCTCATTTTGGGGCATGGCCACGAAGCCGGGCATTTTGCCTCCGGGTGGACAACGCATTGCGGTATGCTGAGGATGGCGCATACCCCACTCCGATTCTGCATCTGACTGATCGATGCAAGAAGGATGTGGTCCAGTTGTGGCTAGTTCAAGAACCCATTGACGAGTTAGTCCCTGATGCGGTGGGGGCCTTGGATCTCCCACAGGCCAAAAGATCCAAGCTTCATCTCGAACCACTACACCTCGTTTTCGGCAACGTCACCTTCTTCGGCCACCGCGCGCAGGACTGGATCTGGACCAAAAGAGACCATCTCATTTTCCTTCAAGAAATCCACTTGGGGCAGAAGAAGATGGAAGCCACGCAACAATATTTCGCCGGCAGAGGGTGGAGATGCCATGGAGTCCCTTTCATTGTGGGAGGTGACTGGTAAAATAAATTGACCTGAGGCCCTGATTGACCTGAGGCCCTCGCAGCAACGCTGATTCAGAGCAAGTGCAGAGCCCACCACCACTCTCCAAGGAAGCCAGCACTTCCTCCCATTGGGCGCACCTTCCAATTGCCGGCTGCTTGGTCCAGCTTTTGGGAGGATGACGGTCTCTTCTACATCATCGACCAACAAATCACTGGTCTAGGCACTGATCTTGCAAGGTGGGCCACTCAGACGGAGAAGTACTTGACACAGCTCCTACATGAGCCCACCAAAGGAAGAGGATCTCGCATTTCCCTCTGCCAAGGACCCATGGTTGATCAACAACGATCCCAAACATGGAAGAAAGGGCGTTTGGCGTTGAGCACCCTGAGAACGAATTTGTGGAGATCAGGAAGATGATCGCTGAGCAGGAACAAAGGGCTCGCCAAGCCCTTTTGTCCACCAGTGAGGAATTCAAAGCATGGTTTGAGAAAGCCTACCAAAAAGGCCTTCGAGGCCTTTTCCGCAACTTGAGGCAGCGAGATTGTCCGTGGCAAAGGCCTTTCCAGCATTTTCCTGCTCTGGAAAGGCTCGCTGCAGCATTGATGCCCTTCCGAAGGCCAACTGGAGCAAGCTGGGCTCAAGCTCAACACCGACAAAACTGGGTTCTTGACCAGCGCCTGAGAAGCCGCTCAGGCCGTCAAGGCTTTGCTTCGTGAAGGAGATCCTGGAACACTACGATGTTCTGAGGGACTTGGGAGGCGACGTCGAGTTCCCCACA